TTCTGCATAGTGGGACTACAGGTGTGCACTACTACACCTGGATGATTTTTTTAAAAATGTTTTTGGCCAGACGCGGTGGTTCACACCTGTAATTTCAGCATTTTGGAAGGCTGAGCCAGGTGGATCACGAGGTCGGGAGTTTAAGACCATCCTGGCCAACTTGGTGAAACCTGGTCTCTACTAAAAATACAAAAATTAGCCAGGCATAGTAGTGCACACCTGTACTCCTAGCTACTCAGGAGGCTGAGACAGTAAAATCACTTGAACCCAGGAGGCAGAGTTTGCAGTGAGCTGAGATGGTGCCACTGCACTCCAGTCTGGGCAAGAGAGACTCCATCTTAAAAAAACACAAAAAACCAAAAACAAAAAACCTGGTACAAACGTAGCTCCTACTGCCAAGGTATCTCTTCCAAACCCATGTGCCCCTGTGATAAGGTGGCACACAAGTCAACCCGCCCAGGAAAAGCTCAGAGAGGGCAGACCTGGTGCGGTAGGATTAGAGAAGAGGTTGGAATGAATCAGTTCATTACTTCACTTGGCACCTGAACAGTGTCTTTTCTCCAAAACTTCTACCTCCTTTCAGGTGGTAAATCGGGTTTCTTCCTCCCTGGGTAGGCCAGAGAGGGCTGAGCTGGGTGACAGGCAGGGCGAACAGGCCAGCAGAGGTCAGAGGGCCTTGCTCTCCTCTGGCAGGGGCTGCCCATGACTGGGACTGTGCCCACAAAGGAATTAGTGGTAAGATGGATAATGGGGCAGGATTCTGTGCAGAGCTTGGGGATACAGATGGGTACAGTCACCCCTGGCTACAAATCTACACCCAGGTGTTCCTGCCTAGTCCCCTCTGCCCATGATGGTGCAGATGCAAGGTCTGTATGTCTTGGGACTCTCCTCATTGGATTCTGAGCTGACCTGGTCACGTGGCTGCTTTGTCAGACTCATGTGGTATGTGGGTTTTGCTGATCCTGGCTAGTCTAAACCCCATCCAGGTCAGGGCTGGGTGTTATCAGAGGAAGGGGCAGATTTCTGCAGAACCTGGCTGAGGACACCAGCAAAGGCCTCAGGAGTGACAGGGAAAGCCAGCAGTCAGCTGAACCCTGGGGTCTCTGTGTGACCCTGGACAGGCTGCTTAGCACTTCTCTGGCCTCAGTGTCCCCCAACTACAAAAGCCTGGGAAAGTAAAGAATTCTTCCAGTTCAAAGCTGGGCGTGGTGGCTCATGCCTGTAACCCCAGCCCTTTGGGAGGCCGAGGCGGGTGGATCACAGGTCAGGAGGTTGAGACCAGCCTGGCCCATATGGTGAAAACCGGTCTCTACTAAAAATACAAAATTAGCCAGGCATAGTGGTGTAGACCTGTAGTTCAAGTTACTCAGGTGGCTGAGGCAGAAGAACTGCTTGAATCCAGGAGGTAGGGGTTGCATTGAGCCCAGATTGCACCATTGCACTCCAGCCTGGGTGATAAAGCAACACTGTCTCAAAAAAAAAAAAAAAAAAAAATTCTTCTTCCAGTCAAAACTGTGATGCGCCCTCCTGGCAGGGTCTAGGGGGGCTAAAAAGGCCTGAGCCATGGGGCTGTCTCAGGGGGTCCAAGGAAGACTGGAGGGAGCTCTCAGAATCTTCCTATTCAAAATTCAGGAACTGCCTGTTGGCTGATGGTGGACACACCCCTTGGTTTGGAATGAAAGGCAGTCCTGACCACCTTTTCCTGACCAGACTGTCCTCTTCAAGCAAGGGGCTTCTCCCAGCACTTATGAAGGTGAAATGAGTCAATGGAGGAGACAGTACTTTGTAAACCATAAAAATGCAATAGAAGCAAAAATCTAAAATAAAGCCACTTTTACTTCCCTCCTTCCAATCATCCTTCTCTCCAACCTCCGGAAAACCTGAATGCTACAGACCACTGTTTTCAAAGTCAAATGACCGAAGGAGCTCAGCAAGTCATATAAATGAGTGGGAAATGACAGATGGAAAGGTCTGTTTTAAAGAGACATGGGTTCAAAAAATACTTCCCTTTCTTCTTTGCTTTGTACTTTAAGATAAACATCAAAAAACACTAAACCAAGCATGTTGAATAGCAAGGGATGCTGGGTCAAGAGCCCATGGGAGTGGCGGGGATGAGTGGCCAGCACGGCGAATTGTGAGTTCTGGCTCCAGCTCAGCTCCCAACAGCTGTGGTTTTGTGGGAGCCTAGGTGGAATTGCCAAATCTTTAGATTTTTCAAAAGATGCCAGAAAATCGGTATGTGGGTGTGACATATTATTTTCAATCTTCACCACTAATTCATATCACTTAAAAACACTACCTGGGCCGGGCGCGGTGGCTCAAGCCTGTAATCCCAGCACTTTGGGAGGCCGAGGCGGGTGGATCACGAGGTCAAGAGATCAAGACCATCCTGGTCAACATGGTGAAACCCCGTCTCTACTAAAAATACAAAAAAAATAGCTGGGCATGGTGGCACGTGCCTGTAATCCCAGCTACTCAGAAGGCTGAGGCAGGAGAATTGCCTGAACCCAGGAGGTGGAGGTTGCGGTGAGCCGAGATCGCGCCATTGCACTCCAGCCTGGGTAACAAGAGCGAAACTTCATCTCAAAGAAAAAAAAACACACACTACCTGGGCTCAAATCAGTAAACATGGCAATTGCCGGCCAGATCCAGTACAGGGCAAGGGGATTTTAATTTGTGCAGTAAAAAGATAATGGAGGTGGCAGGCACCTGTAATCCCAGTACTTAGAAGGCTGAGGCAGGAAAATCGCTTGAACTGAGGAGACGGTGGTTGCAGTGAGCTGCAATCAGGCCATTGCACACCCTGGGCAACAAGAGAAAAATCCCCATCTCAAAAAAAAAAAAAAAGGACAGCCGGGCGCGGTGGCTCAAGCCTGTAATCCCAGCACTTTGGGAGGCCGAGGCGGGTGGATCACAAGGTCGAGAGATCGAGACCATCCTGGTCAACATGGTGAAACCCCGTCTCTACTAAAAATACAAAAAATTAGTTGGGCATGGTGGCACGTGCCTGTAATCCCAGCTACTCAGGAGGCTGAGGCAGGAGAATTGCTTCAACCCAGGAGGCGGAGGTTGCGGTGAGCCGAGATTGCGCCATTGCATGCACTCCAGCCTGGGTAACAAGAGCGAAACTCCGTCTCAAAAAAAAAAAAAAAAAAAAAAAAAAAAGGGACAACAGAAGCCAGGCATGGTGGCTCAGGCCTGCAATCCCAGCACTTTGGGAGGCTGAGGCAGCAGGATCGCTTCAGCCTAGGAGACCATCCTAGGCAACAGTGAGAACCTCATCTCTACATAAAATTTAAAAATTAGCTGGGTATGGTGTTGCCCACCTGTAGTCTCAGATATTTGGAAGGCTGACAGGAGAGGATTCCTTAAGCACAGCAAGTCGAGGCTGCAGTGAGTCCTATTCACACCACTGCATTACAGCCTGGGCAACGGAGCAGGAAGCTGTCTCAAAAATGAATAAATAAATAAATATAAAAAGACAGTCAGTATTGTGCTCTGGAAGGGTCAAAAGAATAAAAAATAATAATAAAAGAAATTTAAAAATGGGTAAAACAAAGTTCTCTACCTCAATCCTGTTAGCATCTCTGGGCTAAGAAACAGCTTTTGCTTCCCCTTATGGAGGTCTGGGGGGTTCTCACCTCAGCCCTGCCTCAGTAAAGGGAGCCTTTTAGAGCCTGGGTCAGCGGGGAGCAAGACACTAGCAGAGGAGGCTGCTGAGGGCCCAAGATGAGACTGTCCGCACCCCAGAGCCAGCTCTTGCCGGGGACTCTGGGACTTCCCTGCGGGCTGCTGCAGAGGTTCAGGCCCCTGAGCCCATCCCAGGCCTCCCGCAGTCTCTAGATAGTCACTTTTTTTTTTTTTTTTGAGACGGAGTTTGGTTCTTGTTACCCAGGCTGGAGTGCAATGGCGCAATCTCGGCTCACCGCAACCTCCACCTCCTGGGTTCAGGCAATTCTCCTGCCTCAGCCTCCTGAGTAGCTGGGATTACAGGCACGTGCCACCATGCCCAGCTAATTTTTTGTATTTTTAGTAGAGACGGGGTTTCACCATGTTGGCCAGGATGGTCTCGATCTCTTGACCTCGTGATCCACCAGCCTCGGCCTCCCAAAGTGCTGGGATTACAGGCGTGAGCCACCGCGCCCGGCTAGATAGTCACTTTTGAAGCCGTCATCCACACTCCTGGAATATCTCTGGGTACAGCTGGAAGCCCACCGGCGGGTCCAAGTCCCCGCGGCCAGGGGTCAAGGTCAGAGACAGCCCCCCTGCGCCCCGGCCCCTGTGAGCCCCCGCCCCAGGCCGATGGACCCACTGGTGTTTGGCCACGGCTGACTTCTGGCCAAAGCGGCGGCCGCACTGCGGGCAGGGGTAGGGCTTCTCGCCACTGTGGGTGCGCCTGTGGGCTGCCATCTCCGAGCTCTGGCGAAAGCAGCGTCCGCAGTCCGGGCATGGGTAGGGCTTCTCACCGGTATGGGTGCGCATGTGGCGCCGCAGGTCCGAGGGGTAGGCAAAGGCACGACCGCAGTCCAGGCAGGGGAAGGGGGTCTCGCCGCTGTGCACGCGCCGGTGCTGGTACAAGGCAGATCTCTGGCTGAAGCGGCGGCCGCAGTCAGTGCAGCCATAGGGCTTCTCGCCAGTGTGGACACGCAGATGCGAAGTCAGCGCAGAGCGCTGTGTGAAGGCCCGGCCACACTCGGGACAGCGGTGGGGCCGCTCCCCGCGATGGATGGCCCGGTGTTTGCTCAGGGAGGAAGCGTGGCCGAAGTCCTTGCCGCAGTCCGCGCAGTGGAAGGGCTTCTCGCCCGTGTGGCTGTAGACGTGCTCCAACAGCGTGGAGCGCCAGGCGAAGCTCTTCCCGCACACGTAGCAGCCATGACGCTGGTCCGCTCGGGGAACAGGGGGGTGGGCACAGAGCGAGGGGCGTCCCCGGCACGGTGCATTGGACCTCAGCTCCCAACCATAAGGGGGCCTGGCCGAGGGGGCTTGAGGAGCCTTCAGCCCAAGAGGCCCTGTGGCCACACGGAGGGGCTTCTCCAGGGCTCCCATCCCTTCCCTTGGTCTTTTCTCTTCCTTGTTTCTGGAATCTGCTGGGAGACAAAGAGGGGAGAGTTCAGCCATGGCTCATCCTGATCCTTGAAACCCACACTCTGAGTGGGCGGGAACAGGCCTGCTGGACCCACAGCTGCCCTGGGAGATGAAGGAGTGACAGGTGTTCCTCGGCTGCAGAACCAGACAGAGCTGGGAGGGAGGGAACAGTCCATTCCGCCTTGGGGCTGGGGAAATGTCACCGCGGGGGAAGGGCAGAGAGGACATGAACATCCGGGCCTGATCCCGAAGGAGAAGCAGACACTTGAGGATGTTCCAGGCAACAGGAACAGCACCAAGAAAGGCAGAACCAGGTGGGCACGGCCAAGTTTAGTGGGGCTGGACACTCTGCAAAGGCTGAGGGCAAGAAATGAAGGAAAAAAGTTGGGGCGGGCAGGTGGTGGTGTGGAGGAGGAGAGGAACTAGTTTGCAGGAGGACGGGACTGGTGGGTCCTGATGTGGAGGTAGAGCTTAGAGGCTGGGCGTGGGGGCTCACAGCGGCAGAGAAGGTGGATTGCTTGAACCTAGGAGTTCGAGACTAGTCTGGGCAACATACCAGGACCCAAGATCCCCCTCTCTAAAATATATATATATATATATATATATATATATATATATATATATATATATATAAAACAATTTTAAGAATTAAAAAAAAAAATTGGCCGGGTGTGGTGGGTCACGCCAGTAATTCTATCACTATGGGAGGTCGAGGGGGTTGGATAGCTTGAGCCCAGGAGTTCAAGACCAGCCTGAGCAACATAGTGAAACCCCATCTCTACTAAAAATACAAAAAATTAGCCAGACATAGTAGTGGGCACCTGTAATCCCCGCTATTCGGGAAGCTGAGGTAGGAGAATTCCTTGAACCTGGGAAGAGGAGGTTGTAGTAGGCTGAGATCGCGTCATTCACTCCAGGATGAGTAACAGAGAAAAACTCTGTCAATTACCCAGGCTTTGTGGCGAGCGCCTGTACAGTCTTAGCTACTCTGGAGGCCCACGCAGGAGGACTGCTTGAGCCCCGGAGTTCGAGGCTGCAGTGAGCTATGATGGTGCCATTGCACTCAGCCTGGGCAAAAGCGAGACCATCTCTAAAACAAAAACACCAAAACAAAGCCCCCAGAGTGTAGTGACCACGCAGAGGTGAGGACTCAGAGGCGAGTGAGGCAGGGCCAAGCCCCCATCACGGCCCCTTTCTAGTTTGCATCCGGGAGCCAAGCAGGGCTCAACTTCGTGGTCGCAGTTGGGAAAGCAGTTCATTCCTGCTTCCAAAGTATGAGAAAAAAAAAAAAAAAAAAAAGGAGAAAGTTCAGAGATGAAACTGCTAAGCAGGTAGCTGGAGGTGGCAGAGGGTAACGGGATGGGACAGGAACAGAGAAGTCCCCATGGGACTGAGCACCCGATACTGCACCTGGGTCCGCTTCTGTCGGACACTCCGCCAGCTCCGGATCCTGGGCAGCCGGACCCCACAATTCAGCCTCCTCCTCCATCCAGGAGATGAGCGCCGGCTTGCTGCCTCCGACTCCTGGGGGAGAAGAACGCAAATCCCACGCTGCGGGGAGGCCGCCTGCCCGGCCGCGGGGCCCCCAACTCCACGCGCAGCTCCCTGAGGTGCGGCAGGGCCTGTGGGGGCGCAGGGCCCAGGCGAGCAGGTGGGACTCTCACCGAGCGCGCCCAGGTGGCTGTAGGTCTCCCGCATCACATCCCGGTACAGGGCCCTCTGCGCGGGCCGCAGACAGCTCCACTCCTCCCGGGAGAAGTACACGGCCACGTCCCCGAAGGTCACGGCCCCGGGCTCCCTCCACTCGGGCCCGGCCCCGTTTGGGTCCTGGGAGTAGAGCGTGGCCAGAGGCGGCGCCATGGGGACTGTCAGACCCGACGACAAGTCGGCTGCCTCCCCTGGCCCCGGCTGGGCCTGTGGAACCTCCCGCGCCCGAGAACGCCTCCCCGGCCTGGGCCCAAGGGAAGGAGGTAGGTCACTAGAGCCCCCGAGGGCGCACTAGAGGGGATGGAAACTAGTGGTCGCGATGGCAGCTGGTGCACAATCAGAAATGGAAGATACCCTTATTAAAAATGGCCGCAGTGCAGCCACTCGACCTTTGCCCCTACGCAATCGTGCCCAGGACAACGCCCTCAGTATCTCCCGGCCGCGTTCTCCCCGTACCCTCATCCAAAATGGCCGCGGTGGCTACAGGCGCCGGCCTTGAAAACCAGCCGCGCATGCTTCGGCCCCGGCCAGCTAGGCGGTGCACCTGAGAGCTCCGGCCCGGTTTGCACTAGCGCCCCGCAGGAGGCAGCTGGCCTCTTGGCCTTAGTGAACTCGCATTAGTTTTCGTCTTTGCACTGTTTTATATCGGGCTCCAGCCCGTCACCTTCTCGTTTTGTACTTGTTATTTCAGAAACAGGGCGACAGCAGTCTCTTCCCAATGTTGAGTGCAAAAACCAATGAAGTGGACCAGGCGCGGTGGCTCACGCCTCTAATCCCAGCAGTTTGGGAGGCTGAGGCTGAGGCCGGCGGATCACCTGAAGTCAGGAGTTCGAGACCAGCCTCACCAACATGGTGAAACCCCCGTCTCCACTTAAAGTACAAAAAATTAGCCAGGTGTCGTGGCGCGCGCATGTATCCCAGCTACTGAGGAGACTAAGGCAAGAGAATCGCTTGAACGCAGAAGGCAGAGGTTGCAGTGAACCGAGATTGTGCCACCGCACTCCAGCCTGGGTGACAGAGCGAAACTCCGTCTCGGAAAAAAAAAAAAAAAAAAGAAATGACAGGACAAAGAAAATCTGGCTAAGGCAGTAAAATTTTCGAGGGAAGTCACTAGGCTACATATGGGGGAGGTCAAACAGCTGGTAGATAGGCATTACTTTGTTACGTTTGTTTATTCTGGTCCCTTGTGGCCTCTCTGAGCTATTTTCTCGCCCTGGTACGGAAGGATACTTCCCCAGAGTAATGTTTCTGGCATACTGCATGCAGAAGAAACAGGTCGGCCTGCTCCTTCTGAAACTACAATTTCTCTCATTTCTTTAAACTCGGAATAATCAGTATACCAGACTGTGAACGTTTTGCAGGAGGTCCTGGGAGGTCTTTGGAGGATCCTGTTGGGAACTTCAGGGAGGCTGATCTGGCGGGGTTCTCAGAAAGCGGGTCAACCTGCCGCATAAGTGAAGAGAACCACTTCTTTCCCTTTTCAGGGATCCCGGTGGCGCGCAGCTGAGCGCGTCCAGGTGGCCGCAGGTCCGGCATCGCGCCCGGATCAGGACGTGAACATCCGTATACCGCAGACACCCTCTCTGCGCCAGGAAACGGCAGTCGGCCACGTCCGCGGAGCTCTCGGCCCTCGGGCTCTTTACCGGCCTCAGTCCCTCTCGCCTTCCCGAGTTTATTGGACTGGAACTGGCTCCGCGGCTTCTGGAGGGGCGCTGAGGCTTCGCCCTGGAGTGGAGTACAGGGGTTTCCACCGACGCCTCTGCGACCGGAAGTAGCTTTGGGTGGGGCCGCTCTAGGGCGGCGAGCAACTCTGTGGTGCCGGAGTCCAGAAAAATGGAGGCGCCCTCAGAAAAGATGGCGACAGTCCAGCTTCTCTTCATTTTAGAGAAAGGCACTGAACAGCTTGAATATCGATCGATGTTGGTGACCTGGTTTGTTCCTCCTGGAAACGTCTTCTCTTGCTGTTCCTCCCAGGCAGCCTCGGCAGCGTTTCTTTCCCGTAGTTAAGATGGCTGCGGCCGCTTGGACCTGGGCTCCAGCAGGTGGAAGCAAGGGCCGCAGGGGATGGGAAACCGGTCCAGGATTCTCGACCGAGGGCCTGACGTCCCCTTCCCAGACCCTTCGAGGAGGACCACTTAGTGACCAAGGCTTTTTTTTTTTTTTTTTTTTTGAGACAGTTTCACTCGGAGTACAATGGCGAGATCTTGTCTCACTGCAACCTCCGCTTCCCGGGTTCAAGCGATAATCCTGCCTCAGCCTCCCTAGTAGCTGAGATTACAGGCGCCTGCCTCCACGCGGCTAATTTTTTGTATCTTTAGTAGAGATGGGGGTTTCACCATGTTAGCCAGGCTGGTCTCCAACTTCTGACCTCAGGTGATCTGCCCGCCCCAGCCTCCCAAAGTGAGAGGATAACAGGCGTGAGCCACCGCGCCCGGCCTCTACTCTCTACTCTTGAGAGGGACTTTCGCTCTTGTCCCCCAGTCTGGAGTGCAATGGCGCGATCTCGGCTCATTGACTACAGAACCCAGACTGGAATCCCTCAAATTATTGAAGGCAAAACTTCAGCAACCAAAGAGAGATGGGATTTAGGCTAGGTTACCACACTGCCATATAAATGTAAAGAGGAAAAATATACAGTTTGGGAGGCCGACAAAGGCAGATCACTTGAGGTCAGGAGTTTGAGACCTGCCTGGCCAACATGGTAAAACCCTGTTTCTACTAAAAATACAAAAATGAGCCGCGTCAGGTGAGTCATGCCTGTAAGCCCAGCAATTTGGGAGGCCAAGGAGGGCGGATTACCTGAGGTCGGGAGTTTGAGACCAGCCTGACCAACATGGCGAAACCCCATCTCTACTAAAAATATAAAAGCTGGCATAGTGGTGCTTGCCTGTAGTCCCAAGCTGCTCCAGAGGCTGAGAGGCAGGAGAATCGCTTGAATCCGGGATGCGGAAGTCGTGGTGAGCTGAGATCATGCCATTGCACTCTGTCTCAAAAATAAATAAATAAATAAATGAAATTACAAAATAAAAATACAAAAATTAGCTGGGCATGGTGGTGTGCGTGTGTAGTCCCAAATACTCAGGAGGCTAAAGGCAGGAGAATCTCTTGAACTAGGGAGGTGGAGGTTGTGGCGAGCTGAGATCGCGCCACTGCACTCCAGCCTGGGTGACAGAGTGAGACTCCATCTCAAATAATAATATTAATAAATAAATTTAAAGAGGAAAAATATAAATGACAAACTATGATAAGTACTAAAGTAAGACCATTGTTTAGAGGCCATGTAATGAGGGATCGTTCAGGTATCTAGGAAGTATGTAAAATTGCCCAGGATGGGTGACAGATGCTTCACAAAGGGTCCCCTGTAGCAACTGTCACCACCGTCCCCTCTTTTTTTTTTTTTTTTCTGAGACGGAGTTTCGCTCTTGTTGCCCAGGCTGGAGTGCAATGGCGCGATCTCGGCTCACCGCAACCTCCGCCTCCTGGGTTCAGGCAATTCTCCTGCCTCAGCCTCCTGAGTAGCTGGGATTACAGGCACACGCCACCATGCCCAGCTAATTTCTACTATTTTTAGTAGAGACGGGGTTTCACCATGTTGACCAGGATGGTCTCGATCTCTTGACCTCGTGATCCACCCGCCTCGGCCTCCCAAAGTGCTGGGATTACAGGCTTGAGCCACCGCGCCCAGCCTCACTGTCCCCTCTTGCTCAGGCTGTTGCTGAGATAGGCCTAGGGCCTCCTAGCTGGCCTCTGGGCCTCCAGCTTTTTGCCTTTGCCATCCATCTGGCACTGCAGCCTGGTGTACTGAAAACAGGAAGGACCTGGGAAATAGAGATTTGGGATCCAGGCCTACCTCTGCCACTGACTCGGTTTCATGATCTTAATGATGTCCCCTCCTCTCTCTGGCCTCAGTATTCTCAGAGTGTATTCTGCAGAACAGCATTCCCATGAGACGCTCCATGGGGTAAAAAAGAAAACAAACAAAAAACAGCTTTCTCCATTTCCCTTGAGAGTCTCCTTTGGCAAATTTAAGGTTCAGAGCAGACTTCAATACAGAAATGATTCTGCTCGTTGCAGTGAGCCGAGATCATGCCACTGCACTTCAGCCTGGGTGACAGAGTGAGACTGTCACAATAAAGAGAAAAAACAAAAACAAAAAACAGGAAAGAAAAGAAACAGCATCATGGGAATGAGAGCCTGTGGCAGCTCCTCCCCCTCCCCAGCCCATCTGTCAATCTCCACTTGATGCCTCCGATGTCCTTTCTGCATCTCGCAGGAACTCATCCCTAGCTTGGAGCATCTCACTTGCTGTTCCCTCTGTTTGGAAACATCTCTCCCCTCTACTCTCCCTGACCACAGCCCCAAGGGGACCCTGCCCTTCCCCACTCCCTGTCCCCTAACCCTGTTCCCTATGGCGCCTCCTCACCATGGCTCAGCCTCAGCTTCCAACTGCAGCAGGCTCTTTCTGCACATCGCTGTTGGAGCTCCTTCATAAGCCTTATTATTTGCATTTGCACTTCCTCGCTTCCTTCATGTTCTGGTTTATTGCTTGTCTCTACCTTCTAGAAAGTAAGCTCCAAGAGGGTTCCTGTGCCTCTTTCTCCTGCTACGTTCTGGCATGGAGAATAACAGCTAGTGCATGGTAAACGCTTAGCAGCTATTTGTTAAATGCACCAATGAGAAAGAGAAATAGCAGAAAGCACTTGCCCTGTGCCCAGCACCAGCTCTGGGGTTGCCCAGAGCAGCTGTGGGCTTGACACACTTAACCTGGTTCTGCTCCTCCCTCCCTGGCAGGGTCTCCTCCTCCAGCTATGCCTTCTCTTTGGCCTTACCGTTTCCCAGGACGGGTCACCCTTGACCTTCACACCCTCCTACTCCTGATCGCCCCTTGCCAGGCACTGGGGCCCCTGGCTCCGGCTTTCCATGCTGGATCCTCTGGGTCTTACCGGCTCATGTTGTCAGTCACCAAGCTGCAGACTCTATGGCAGAAGCCTCTCATGAGTGTCTTTCTTCCTTTTTTTGGAGGCGGGGAGGTATGCCTTTATCAGCAGAGTGTCTTTCTTCTTAATTCCAAGGTCACTACCTTGGTCCCAGCTCCTGATGACCCTCACTTGGGAAAAGATGTCCAACAGATCTCTAGTGTCTAGCCCTATCCCCCAACCAGATCACACCCACACTGATTTGCAAAGAGATCTGATCATAGCTAGCAAACAGCACTGCACTTGCTCAAGAACTTTCTGTGACTCCTCAGTGCTGTGGAATGGATCTCAAGGCTCCTCTGCTGAGACCTCTGGCCCTCCCAGATTGGACGCCACTTCTCGGCTGCATCTGTCTCCCATCTTTCCTTGTCTAGTTTTGTTGTTGTTATTGTTTCTGAGACAGAGTCTCATTCTGTTGCCCAGGCTAGAGTACAATGGCACTATGTTGGCTCACTGCAACCTCTGCCTCCCGGGTTCAAGCAATTCTTCTGCCTCAGCCTCCTGAGTAGCTGGGATTATAGGGGCCCACCACCACACTCAGCTAATTTTTGTATTTTTAGTAGAGACAAGTGTCACCATGTCAGCCGGGCTGGTCTTGAACTCGTGATCTCATGATCTACCTGCCTCAGCCTCCCAAAGTGTCTTTTGTTCTTTCTATGAAGCAAGACTCCTTTGCTATCTCCTCTGCCTGAAAATCTCTCCCAACACCAATTCGTGCTGAAGACTATGGGAAGCACAGCCATCTCCTCCTCCCAGCAGCATTTCCTGGCATATTGCCAACCAGCCTGGGTGAGGTGGTGCCTCTGGGCTTCCTCTGTCACAGTATCATTTACCCTCTCCCCACATCAAATGTGGGCCCTGAGTCAGCTGTGTCGTTGGACCCTAGCACAGAAACCCACAGATGCCTCAACAGGGTGTTTGCTGAATAAATGAATGAATGAGATCAGGTTTCCTCATCTTGGAATTCCCTTGTTACCTAGCACAGTCCGTTAACAAAAGGCACTCATCACACAGTCACTAAAGGCTAATTGTACCTTCTCATTTGTTTTTCCATTTGTTTTGAGACAGAGTCTCTGTCGCCCAGGTTGGAGTGCAGTGGTGCAATCATAGGTAACTGCAGCCTAGTCTCCCTGGCTCAAGTGATCCTTCCACCATAGCCTCTCACGTAGCTGAGACTACAGGCACACGTCACCACACCTCGCTGATTTTTGTTTTTGTAGACATTGGGGCCTCACTGTGTTGCCCAGGCTGGTCTCAAACACCTGAGCTCAAGAGATCCTCCCATCTCAGCCTCCCAAAGTGTTGGAATTACAGCTGTGAGCCACCACATCCAGCCCGACTATGCCTTCTAAGTAAAAACAGGCCAGGCAAGGTGCCTTACGCCTGTAATCCCAGCACTTTGGAAGGCCAAGGTCAGAGGATCGTTTGAGCCCAGAAGGTAGAGGCTACAGAGAGCCATGTTCACAGCACTGCACTCCACCCTAAGTGCCAGAGTGATACTCTAACTAAAAAAAAAAAAAAGAGAAAAGGAAAGAAAAAAGAAAAGAGGCATTTCCTAGACTCTCAGTGTTCTGCTTACACTCCCCAGACCAGGCTGGGCCAGGCCCTACATCCTGAGTTCCCAGCCCGTTTTCTGTCCAGATCTGACTTCTCAGAGGAGGTGGTAAAGATATCTGGGGTGTGTGTTCATTTCCAGTCATGCTCTCTATGGCCGTGAAATCTTGAGAGCATCATGTCATCTCTCTGAGCCTCAGTTTACTTATCTGCAAACATGGTTTTTTGTTGTTGTTGTTGTTTTTTAAAGATGGGGTTTCTCCATGATGGCCAGGCTGGTCTTGAACTCCTGACCTCTGGTGATCCACCCACCTCAGCCTCCCAAGGTGCTGGGATTACAGGCGTGAGCCACCGCGCCTGGCCAAACATGGTTATTACTATCCATGCCCTGCCTCCCTGGCAGGCTTCTTTACACTTTCTAAAGTGTAGACTGTCCACAGTAATTCAGCAAATGATTGTTGCACATTTACAACGTCATAGATCTTGTTAAAATGTCAGTCTCCACGGTAACCCTTTTGAGGTAGATATTATTCATCCTCATTTTACAGAGAAGGGCGCTGAGGCTCAGGGAGGTCACATGACTTACCAGCTGTGCCTGGGAAAGTTCCAGAGACTAGGTTGTGTTTTTTCTTTTTTGAGACAGAGGTGTGCTCAACCGCCCAGGCTTGAGTACAGTGGCACAATCTTGGCTCACTACAACCACCATCTCCTGGGTTCAAGCGATTCTCCCATCTCAACCTCCCAACTAACTGGGATTACAGGCACCTGCCATCATGCCCAGCTAATTTTTGTATTTTAGTAGAGATGGAGTTTCACCATGTTGGCCAGGCTGGTCTTGAACTCCTGACCTCAAGTGATCCACCTGCCTAGGATTACAGGTGTGAGCCACCGAAAGTGGCCCCTTTTTTTTTTTTTTTTTTTTTTTTTTTAAGAAATGGAGTCTTGGCCAGGTGCAGTGGCTCATACCTGTAATCCCAGCACCTTGGGGGGCCAAGGCGTGTGGCTCACCTGAGGTCAAGAGTTTGAGACCAGCCTAGTTAACACGTGAAAACCTGTCTCTACTAAAAATATGAAAATTAGCCAGGCATGGTGGCTCATGCCTGTAATCCCAGCTACTCAGGGGGCTGAGGCAGGAGAATTGCTTGAACCTGGCGGCAGAGGTTGCAGTAAGCCAAGATGGTGCCACTGTACTCCACCCTGGGTGACAGAGTGAGACCCTGTCTCAAAAAAAAAAAAAAGAAAGAAAGAAAGAAAGAAAGAAAGAAACAAAAAAGAAATGGAATCTTGGTCTGTTGCCCAGGCTGTAGTACAGCAAAACAATCATAGCTCACTGTAGCCTGGAACTCCTGTACTCAAGCCCTCCTCGCCTCAGCCTCCCAAGTAGCTGGGACCACAGGCATGACATGCCACTATGCCCGGTTAATTCTTTTCCTCTAGAGATAGGATTTCACTATGTTGCTCAGGCTTGTCAGGACTCCTAGCCTCAAGCAATCCTCCCGCCTTGGCCTCCCAACAGAGGCTGGATTTGTGCCACCTGCATCTATTCTATTCCCATCCACTCCAGTGTCTGAGTCCCCTGCTGGTGACAATTAGCCAGGGTTTGACAACGCCCTCCATGTAGGTCCCCTCCTCAGTCCTTGGTCCCCCTCAGCATCTGCGTCTGAGGGAGTGAAGGAGTGGCCAGTTCCTGAGATGATGGAAAGGTCTCTGTTGCACCTGATCTTCAGATGACACTTCGAAATGAGTCCAGGATCTCACTCGGTTCTTTTTTTTTTTTTTTTTTTTTTAACCAAAAGACTGGGGAGAGAGGTGTCAAGTTTAATCTATTTGAATCTTACAGGCACTTTTCTTTTTACAAGTTGGAAACTTGAGGGATCCTTGAGGCATGAATTTCAGTTCCGGAGTCCTGGACTCAGGAGTCCACCTCAGGGCTCAGTCAGTCCTTCGTGCCAAGGTCAGTCTGCGGTGCCGCTCAGCCACACTCCTCAAAGATGTCTGGGTAGTGCCGGAAGAGCACAGGCGGGTCCCGGTCACCTCGGACGGGGGCCCGAGGCACAGCCCGGATCCCAGGCCTCCGGCCCCGCCGCCCCCCGGAGCAGGAGCGGTGGATCCACTGGTGCGCTTCCACAGCGAATTTCCTCTTGAAGCGCATGCCACACTCAGGGCAGGGGAAGGGTCGCTCTCCCGAGTGCATGCGCCTGTGGCTGACCAGCAGCGAAGGGTAGGTGAAGCGGCGGCCACAGTCCGTGCACACGTGGCGCCGCTGGCCGGCCTGAGCATCCACGCTGGGCACGGGCGCCGGGGGCCGTGCTCCTGTGGTCTGGTCCCTGGCTGCACTTGTGGGTGGCTGTGGCTGTGCCCATGCCGAGGCCACGTCAGGGTTGCCTCCCACCAACACTTCAGGACTCTTCATAGGAGCCCTTCTAGGCCCTTCCTCGGGTTCCTCTTCCTTCGTGTTTGGGGCATCTCCTGGGAAACCAGAATTAAGGTACATTTACAAACACTTTCGAACAGACTGTCTTAGGTTATAGAATGCTTTTCACTTAAGGCAGTGCCAGAAACGTTCCATCCAGTGATTAACACGCAGGCTTTGGAACAAGGTAAACAGGATTCCGACCTCCTAAGAGTGACTTACCGGAGCCTTGGTTCCTCATGCATCAAATAGGAATAATAATAGCTTTTGACTACACAGCTTTGCGGGATTAGCTGAGTAGAGATGTATGTTAAGCACTTAGTAAGTGCTCAGGAAGCAGGGGCTATTATTATTATTATTATTTTATTTTTGAGACGGAGTCTCACTGTCATCCAGGCTGGAGTGCAGTGGCAGGATCTGGACTCTGCAGCCTCTGCCTCCCAGGTTCAAGGGATTCTCCTGCCTCAGCCTTGCAAGTAGCTGGGATTACAGGCACCTGCCACCACGCCCGGCTAATTTTTGTATTTTTAGTAGAGATGGGGTTTCGCAGCATAGGCCAGGCTGGTCTCAAACTCCTGACCTCAGATGATTCACCAGCCTCAGCCTCCCAAAATGCTGGAATTACAGGCATGAGCCACCGTGCCCAGCCAAGCAGGGGCTATTGTTAGTGTGGTTTCTCCATTTTTTGTAAGGTAAGATTCTTTTTTTTTTTTTTTGAGACGGAGTTTCGCTCTCGTTACCCAGGCTGGAGTGCAATGGCGCGATCTCGGCTCACCGCAACCTCTGCCTCCTGGGTTCAGGCAATTCTCCTGCCTCAGCCTCCTGAGTGGCTGGGATTACGGGCACGTGCCACCATGCCCAGCTAATTTTTAGTATTTTTAGTAGAGACGGGGTTTCACCATGTTGACCAGGATGGTCTCAATCTCTTGACCTCGTGATCCACCCGCCTCGGCCTCCCAAAGTGCTGGGATTACAGGCTTGAGCCACCGCGCCCGGCCCCAAGGTAAGACTCTTTTACAGATGAGGAAACATATTTGCTCAAGGTCGCTCCACTGGGAGATGGCGAAGGGAGAAAAGCCAACTTGTCAATGACTGGGCTTTTTTTCTTGTGCCACTTTACCTCACTTGAGGAATATGAAAGGCAGACCTGAGGCATTTTCATTCTTAAAGAGTTTTAGTTATTCCTGAAAGAGAGAGAATGAGGTAGCCAAGCACAGGGGCTCACACCTTTCATCGCAGCCTGGCCAACATGGGGAAACCCCGTCTCTACCATAAATACAAAAATTAGCGGAGCATGGTGGTGTGTCCCTGTAATTCCAGCTACTCAGGAGGCTGAGGTGGGAGAATCGTTTGAACCCGGGAGGTGGAGGGTACAGTGAGCTGAGATCGCAGTACTGCACTCCAGCCTGAACAACAGAGCGAGACTCCGTATTAAAAATAAAAAAATTAGAAAAAAAAAAGCCGAGCGCGGTGGCTCAAGCCTGTAATCCGAGCACTTTGGGAGGCTGAGGCGGGTGGATCACGAGGTCAAGAGATCGAGACCATCCTGGTCAACATGGTGAAACCCCGTCTCTACTAAAGATACAAAAAATTAGCTGGGCATGGTGGCCTGTGCCTGTAATCCCAGCTACTCAGGAGGCTGAGGCAGGAGACTTGCTTGAACCCAGGAGGCGGAGGTTGCGGTGAGCCGAGATCGCGCCATTGCACTCCAGCCTGGGTAACAAGAGTGAAACTCCGTCTCAAAAAAAAAAAAAAAAGTGGCTGGCGAGGTGGCTCATGCCTGTAATCCCAGCACTTTGGGAGGCCGAGGGGGATGGATCACCTGAGGTCAGGAGTTCAAGATCAGCCTGGCCAACATAGTGAAACCCCATCTCTACTAAAAATACAAAAAAATTAGCCGGGTGTGGTGGTGCATGCCTATAATCCTAGCCACTTGGGAGGCTAGGCAGGAGAATCATTTGAACCTGAAAGGCAAAGGCTGCAGTGAGCCGAGATCGCACCATTGCACTCCAGCCTCGGCAACAAGAGCAACACTGTGTCTCAAAAAAAAAAAGAGGGAGAATGAGAGGAACCTGGAAGCTCAAGCATGTTGGACTGGGCTCTCAGTCCCCACAGGACCGCTGTCCTATGTTCTGAAAACTTTGTCCCGGTTCTGCCTTCTTTACTCTTCTAGTATTCAACAGTTGAATTTCTTTAGGGATGCTGGAAGTGGGGGCCTGAAAGGAAACTGCTAGACAGAAAGCCCTGGAAAACCAAGTTTGGGGAGCGGGGGACCTGGGACCGTCCCTCACCTCTCCGAGCTCCTCCCAGGCTTTCCCCCTTCTCAGGATCCTGGGCGGCGGAACTCCAAGCCTCACTCTCCTGTTCCATCCAAGAGATGAGGGCTGGTTTGGGGCCTGGGAATCCTGGGAGAGAACAGGGATCACAGCTCGGCCCTGAGAGGCCATCGTGGGAAGATGGCATTCCCCTCCAGGCTGAGAGCACCTCCTCGGAGCTTATACTCAACCTGGACGGGGATGCAGTGCTGCTGCCTGAATGAAGTGGATGCGGGTGAAAACACTCCCGAGGGGGTACCTGAAGCCCTGGGAATGGGAGATGGCTGCTGGCGCTGGTGCAAGAGTGCGGGATTAGGGCTCACAGTCCTCTCGGTCCTTCTACATCATCTCCCCTGTGAACCCGGTGAAGGAGGAGAGGGGCTCGGACCCGGGGCTCTCACCGAGCGCGCCCAGGTGGCCGTAGGTCTCTCGCATCACGTCCCGGTACAGGGCCCTCTGCGCCGGCCGCAGACAGCCCCACTCCTCCGGGGAGAAGTACACGGCCACGTCCGCGAAGCTCAAGGCCCCGGGCTTCCTGCAACCAGGCCTGGTCTCCCCGGGCCTCGGCGCCAGGAGCGGGGCTGGGGGCGGCGCCATGGGGCCTCGCAGCCCAGATCGGCGGCCGCCAGCTCCCTGGGGCAGCCGCCTCCCCGCTCCCGGCCTCAGCTGTTCTTGTCCACAGGAAGGGCTGCCCCGCCCAGCTGTAGCGTCCGAACGCAGCCGAGGCAACCGAAGTATCAGAAACCGGCTGCTAGGGATTCAGGATTCTAATAGGGACAAACAGAACTCCTCAGTGTTTATTCACTTGATGGCCGCTTGGACATAGACACCCGGGTTAAGGGACCCGGAAGGTGCCTTCAGAAAAGATGGCGACCACCTAGGTTCAATTGTCACGGGCTGCTCTTAAGGGCGCCATTCTTTGACCGTATCAAATATGGCGCCTTTCTGACTTCTCTGGCCTCAACGTCCCACTTGCCCTTAAATAAAACCGCTTCGGATGCTTTTCTGGTGGGAGAGGCGGGGTGACGGGGAAGTAGAGGCGAGAGGCTTATTGCCTTCAAGAAAGATGGATGGGCCGGAAACGTCTCGTATCCCTCTTTACCCGCAATATGCAACGGCCGATGATTGGCCGGGACCCCGGAAGAAGCTGAGCGGTGATTGGCCTGGGATTGGCGGGGCATTTGAAGGGACCCCCGTGGTCCTGAAGCCTCTATTGACATACTGGAGCGCAGCAGGGACCTCGGCATCTACGGTGCTCGGGATTGTGTCCCCGACGGTCTCTTACCGTCCCTCCCGTTGGCGGCATCTGGAATCTGGTCCCCAGACCCCTTGGGAAGACGCGCACATGTGTACACTCGCGGTAGAAGCAGGTGCGTGTTTTCCAGTAGGAGCTTAGCTACTGAGTCCACCCGGCCCCTGGCATCCGCACCTCTGCTTGCTCAGGCTCTAGACCGAAGCTGCAGGCGAAGGAACGTGCTTGGTGAGGATAGAATCGGAATGGGGAAATTTTAAACTACATTGTAATTTTTGCCAAATTAATTAACATACATGGATTTTTTGTTTTTGTTTTGAGACAGGCTCTTGCTCTGTGGCCCAGGCTGGAGTGCAGTAGTGCGATCCTAGCTCACTGCAGACTCGACCTCGCGGGTTCAAGTGATGTTCTCACCTCAGCCTCCCGAGCAGCTGGGACCACAGGCAGACACCCCATACTTGGCTAATTAAAAAATTTTTTAAACAGAGACAGGATCTTGCTATGTTGCCCAGTCTGGTCTGGAACTCCTGGCCTCAAGCAATCCTCCTGCCCCGGCCTCTCAAAGTGCTATGATCACAGGCATGAGCCACTGTTCCCTGTCATTTCTACTTCTTTACGGTTGTTCCAAATTACCAAAGACAGCATCAAATTTCAAATCCTAATTTTTTGCCTGGGAAACTTCCCTCCTTTAGTCTTCAGTCTTCTCTCTAAACTGGATTGGGCCTCAGCTCTTCTCATACGGGGTCTCCCCTTCCTGCTGTCCTGGGTTGTATCCTCTGCTTCCTAGATTTAACGTCTTTATTTTTCAACCAAGATGGGTCATCGTCATGGCTGTCAGCATTGTACTATAGAACTCGTTGCCTACATCCCCAAATTTGGAATATCCCTGCAGTCACGAAAGATGCAGAATACTGTTTGCTAAGCGTGGGGCTGGTCGCTGGAGATAACAGGCAAGGCCTACCAGGTCCCTGCTGTCATTCTGGCCCTGGATCTACACCTTGCTTGGCTCCCCTGCTGGCCCTAGTATATCAAGCCTTCCTTTTTATTTAAGTGTTCTTTATTGCTGCCTTTTCAGTGAAGATTTCTTTGTATTTTCTGGCCTACCCTTGCTGTTTTTCACCTGAAATATTTTTTGGCTTTTAGTGTGACTCCTGCTGATCTTATGCTTATTGACTATTAATAATTATTATTAAATATATTAACATGCGTATATTATTATTTTGAGTTCTGGAACTGCCTCATTGCACTCTGTGGTGAATCGTGTAGAAATTGAATAAGGAAAAAATATACTCTTAGAAATTAGTCTTTATTTATTTATTTTTATTTATTTTTTTTGAGATACAGTCTCGCTCTGTGGCCAGGCATAAAATAAATAAATATATATATATATATATATATATATATATATATTTTTTTTTTTTTTTCGAGACGGAGTTTCGCTCTTGCTACCCAGGCTAGAGTGCAATGGCACGATCTCGGCTCACCGCAACCTCCGCCTCCCGGGTTCAGGCAATTCTCCTGCCTCAGCCTCCTGAGTAGCTGGGATTACAGGCACGCGCCACCATGCCCAGCTAATTTTTGTATTTTTAGTAGAGACGGGGTTTCACCATGTTGACCAGGATGGTCTCGATCTCTTGACCTTGTGATCCACCCGCCTCGGCCTCCCAAAGTGCTGGGATTACAGGTGTGAGCCACCGCGCCGGGCCTTTTTTTTTTTTTTTTTTTTAAAGTAGAGATGGGGTTTCACCATGTTGGTCAGGCTTATCTAGAACTCCTGACCTCAGGTGATCCGCCCACCTTGGCATCCCAAAATGCTGAGATGACAGGGGTGAGCCACCACACCTGGCTTTTTTTTTTCTTGAAACAGTGTCTTGCTCTGTTACTCAGACGTAAGTTGTGCCATCCTAGCTCACTGCAGCTTCAAACTCTTGGGCTGAAGCTATCCTCCTCCCTCACCATGCTCAGCTGATTTTTTAAAATTTTTGTTAGAAACGAGTTCTTGCTGTGTTTTCCAGGCTGGTCTCAGACGCCTGAGCTCATGCAGTCCTTCTGCTTTAGCCTCGCAAAGTGCTGGGATTTACAGGCTTGAGCCACTGCACCCAGCTGGGAGCTGAAGTTTCTTGCACAAAACTCAGCTGTATGCTGAAGTGTTCAGAAGTGAAATCTAATGATGTCTGCAACTTTGAAATACATTAATAAAATGGATAAATGAATGGATGGAGGGATGGATAGGCAGAATGACACATGTAAAGCCAATAGAGAAAAATGTTATTTGTAGAATCCAGGTGATGCTAAAGGCCACACAGCTAGTCGGGACTGAGCCAAGCCTGGAATCCAGGTCTGCCAGTTCAGGAGAGGCTATATGGTAAAGATAACACCCAGTTCCCAGTTTTTGTTTTTGTTTTGTTTTGTTTTGAGATGGAGTCATGCTTTGTAGCCCAGGCTAGAGTGCAGTGGTATAATCTTGGCTCACTGCAACCGCTGTCTCCCAGGCTCAAGCAATCCTCCCGCCTCAGCCTCCTGAGTAGCTGGTACTACAGGCATGCATCACCACGGTCGGCTAATTTTTTGGTATTTTTGGTAGAAATGGGGTTTCACCATATTGCCCGGCTGGTCTCGAACTCCTGGCCTCAAGTGATTCACCCACCTCAGCCTCCCAAAGTGCTGAATTACAGGCATGAGCCACTGCACACGGCCCCAGTTCCCATTAATAATTATCTTGGGCTGGGAGCGGTGGCTCATGCCTATAATCCCAGCACTTTGGGAGGCCAAGGTGAGTGGATCATGAGGTCAGGAGTTCGAGACCAGCCTGACCAACATGGTGAAACCCCATTCTACTAAAAATACAAAAATTAGCTGGGCGTGGTGGTACGTACCTATAATCCCAGCTACTCAGAGGCTGAGGCAGGAGAATCCCTTGAACCCGGGAGGCGGAGGTTGCTGTGAGCCAAGATCACGCTGCTGCACTCCAGCCTGGGCAACACAGTGAGACACCATCTAAAAAAAAGAAGAAAAAAAAAAAAGACAGAGCACTGAAGCTCAACCCTGTAATTCCAGAACTTTGGGAGGCCGAGGCAGGCTGATCACTTGAAGTCAGGAATTTGAGACCAGCTTGGCCAACATGGCAAAACTCCATCTCTACTGAAAATACAAAATTAGCCAAGCATGGTGGTGGGTGCCTGTAATCCCAGCTATTCAGGAGGCTGAGGTGGGACAATTACTTGAACCTGGGAGGCAGAGGTTGTAGTGAGCTGAGATCGTACCACTGCACTCCAGCCTGGCCAAGAACCCAAGGATTCAAAGAAGCAATCTTTTCTTTTCCTTTTTTTTTTTTTTTTTTTGAGACGGAGTTTTCGCTCTTGTTACCCAGGCTGGAGTGCAATGGCGCAATCTCAGCTCACCGCAACCTCCGCCTCCTGGGTTCAGGCAATTCTCCTGCCTCAGTCTCCTGAGTAGCTGGGATTACAGGCACACGCCACCATGCCCAGCTAATTTTTTGTATTTTTAGTAGAGATGGGGTTTCACCATGTTGACCAGGATGGTCTCGATCTCTCGACCTCGTGATCCACCCGCCTCGGCCTCCCAAAGTGCTGGGATTACAGGCTTAAGCCACCGCGCCTGGCCTATAGAAGCAATCTTTTCAAAGATATATTTGAGTCACTGAGCACCAGTCCTGGAATGCAAATATGCTTAGTGCTACCTACCACTTTTGTTCATTCCTTCAAAAGCTTTCTGTTCAAAAGTAGGGCTAGCATATTTAAAAGGGCCAGAAAGACCTCTCTTAACTGTTGTGTGTGTTTGTTTGGTTGGCTAGAATTTTTTTTTTTTTTGAGGTGGAGTTTCACTCTTGTTACCCAGGCTGGAGTGCAATAGCACTTTAAAAAAAAAAAAAAAAAAAAAAAAAAAGTATGCTAGTGCAGAGAAAGTTAAAAAGAAAAAAAAAAAAGTAATCCCAGCACTTTGGGAGGCTGAGGCGGGTAGATCACCTGAGGTCAGGAGTTCGAGACCAGCCTGGCCAACACAGTGAAACCCCGTCTCTACTAAAAACACAAACAATTAGCCGGGCTTGGTGTCAAGCACCTGTAATCCCAGCTACTCCAGAGGCTGAGGCAGGAGAATCGCTTGAACCCAGGAGGTGGAGGTTGCAGTGAGCTGAGATCACACCATTGCGCTCCAGCCTGGGCAACAAGAGCAAAACTCCATCTCGAAAAAATAAAAATAAAAATAGAAAATTAAGAATCCTCCAGCATTATATTTCCAGCTACTGTGACCCAAGAATACATCTTTATCAAAAAATACAAAATCCAGCGAACATGCAAATATCTGAGGAAGAAAAAAACGCTGCAATCACTAATCCATACAGTGAAGGACTGGCCCAATTCCAGAGTTCATTAGGTTTGATGGTTTGTGCACTACGTGCAGAATGAGAGTGGGGCGGAGAGTTCCCCAGAATGAGAGTGGGGCGGAGAGTTCCCCACCTGAGGCCGCCGTCCTCTCTATGGTCACCTCTAGGTCTTCAGCCAAGGAACACTTGCGCTCCAGGTGTCTACTTGCCAGATATTTCACCTGCATTGGTAAAAGACAGAATCGTGGGATGAGCTTCTCCTCACGAGGGACATGCCCGAGGTATCGCCTCTATTCTAGGGGATCCAGAGTGGGTCCTTTAACAGACACTGGAATGTAGGGGACTCCATCTTAGAGGAGTAGGAGAAATACAGGCCAAAAAGTAGACTGTTCCGAGAGAGAGAACAATCCAGAAGAAAAAGCCAGTTAAGGCCAGGCGCGGTGGCTCAAGCCTGTAATCCCAGCACTTTGGGAGGCCGAGGCGGGTGGATCACGAGGTCAACAGATCGAGACCATCCTGGTCAACATGGTGAAACCCCGTCTCGACTAAAAATACAAAAAGTTAGCTGGGCATGGTGGCGCGTGCCTGTAATCCCAGCTACTCAGGAGGCTGAGGCAGGAGAATTGCCTGAACCCAGGAGGCGGAGGTTGCGGTGAGCCGAGATCGCGCCATTGCACTCCAGCCTGGGTAACAGGAGCGAAACTCCCTCTCAAAAAAAAAAAAAAAGAAAAAGAAAAGAAAAAGCCAGTTAAGTGAATGGTTTTCAGTGAAGGAATCCCAAGTGGGATGGGGAACAAGGGGCCTGTGTGCAGGAGGTTCCGGAAATGGGTCAGCCCCCAGGCACCTTTTCAGATTCCTGCCTCCTCCTCCCCACAGCCCTCTATGCCCTCACCTCTGCTTTTTCCCTAAGGCAGAACTTTGTTTTCCTTAAACGCCCACTTCCTTTCCTTATCCCTCAATGCACAAACCTGGCCTCTTCCTCTCCAGAGAAAACGCTGACCAGTTTGTGAGAACACCATCGCCCACACTCTTGAAATATATCTGGAAAGTGCCGGAAGTGAACTGGGGGATCCTCGCCTCCCAAAACATGGACGGGCTCTGAAAGCCCCACCGCTGCCTGCTGCCACCCGCACCTCTCGCTGCAGGAGCGGTGGATCCACTGGTGGGCTTCCAGGGCGGACTTCCGCTTGAAGGCTTCCCCACACTCCGCGCAGGGGAAGGGCCGGCTGTCGGAGTGAATGCGCCGATGACTGAGGAGGAGGGAAGAGTAGATGAAGCAGCGGCCGCAGTCTGGACAGGGGTAGGGCTTCTCGCCGGTGTATGCGCGCCTGTGGATGGCCAGCAGCGAGGTGTAGGCGAAACAGAGACTGCAGTCGGGGCAGCTATAGGGCTTCTTTCCGGTGTGCTTGCGCTGGTGGATGGCCAGCAGGTAGGGGTAAGTGAAGCGACTCTTGCAGTCTAGGCACGCGTAAGGCTTCTCCCCAGTGTCAGCTCGCCTGTGGATAGCGAGGGAACCCCTCTGGCGGAAGTGGCATCCGCAGTCTGGGCAGGGGTAGGGCTTCTCGCCGGTGTGGATAAACTGATGCTGGAGCAGATACTTGCGCTGGGAGAAACGTGCCGGGCACTGGGTGCAAGGGAAGGGCCGCTCCCCGGAGTGGACCCGCTGGTGGCTGGCCAGGAGGGAAGGATAGCTAAAGTTGCGGTCACAATCAAGGCAAGAGTAGGGCGGTCTTCGCGTCACAGTGTCCTTGAGCCAGGGCTTCATGGGGTTCTGCCTGGGGCTGCTGCAGAGCTCTGGGCAGGTGGCGCTGGGCAACCACTCCTTGAGAGCCACTTCATGCGCCACCTCTTTTTGTTTTGGACAGTTCTTCACCCTTTCCTTCTTCTCATTCCCATCCCTGGATCCTGAAACAAGGAAGAGGTTAAAATCAGAAACCCATCCCTGGATCCTGAGACAGGGAAGATTATAAAATCAAAACCAGCATATTCCGGGACTATGTCCTGCCTTGGAAGGCGGCAGGAATGGTTCAGAATATGGCCACCAGGGAGCACGGCTTAATGATAGCGGCCTCATGAAGTCCTGAAAGCCAGCCTGAAGTAAAATCAAATGCCACGGCCTGCAGGTTAACCCAAGAAGATTGAACATTGGAGATAATGAAAGAGGAGTTGGGCTGGGTGCTGTGGCTCACGCCTGTAATCCCAGCACTTCAGGAGGCTGAGGTGGGAGGATCGCTTGAGGCCGGAAATTCAAGGGACAATGAGCTGGGATTGGGCCACTGTACTCCAGCCTGGGCAACTCTCTAATTTAAAAAAATAAAAATAAAAAAAGGCCAGTTGCAGTGGCTAAACCTATAATCTCAGTACTTTGGGAGGCCGAAGCAGGCAGATCACGAGGTCAAGAGATAGAGGCCATCCTGGCCAACATGGTGAAACTCCGTCTCTACTAATAATATAAAAGTTTGCTGGGCATGGTAGCGCATGCCTGTAATCCCCAGCTACTTGGGAGGCTGAGGCAGGAGAATCGCTTGAACCCTGGAGGCAGAGGTTGCAGTGAGCCGAGATCACGCTATTGCACTCCAGCCTGGGTGACAGAGCCAGCCACCGTCTTAAAAAAACGAGAGAGCGAGAGCGAGAGCGAGAGAGAGAGAGAGTGAGCGAGCTGGGCTCTGTGGGTGGCTCACGACTGTAATCCCAACACTCTGGGAGGCTGAGGCAGGCAGATAACCTGAAGTCAGGAGTTAGACTAGCCAGGCCAACATGGGAAAACATAGTCTCTACTAAATTACAAAAATTAGCCGGGCGAGGTGCTAGGTGCCTGTAATCCCAGCTACTCAGAAGGCTGAGGCAGGAGAATCCCTGGAACCCGGGAAGGGGAGGTTACAGTGAGCCAACATCATGCCACTGCACTCCAGCCTAGGAGACAGCAAGCTCCGTCTCAAAGAAAGAAAGAAAGAAAGAGGAGTGAACAATATTGAAAACCTACTCTGTGCCCGGCTTTGAGGACAGTGATGGTCCCAGTCCTCATGGCACTTAACCATCGTGAACCTGTTTATGATCCCTTAACATCATTCAAAGACCTTCTTTGGTACCAATTCAAATTCATTTGGCACCTTTCCTCTCTGCCCTTACACACCACCACCAAAAAGTCTACACTTGGATTGCCCCACTAGGTTACACGAGAAGACCTTCCGGGAACAAGCATTTATTCTGGTATCAGAGCTGCAGGAAAAACATTTTATTTTCATTTAAAAATCTGATGAATGCTGTTATTTACACTGCGGTCAGTAAATAACACCTTCATTAGATTTTTTAAATAAAGATGAAATTATTAGTATCCAAGAGGAATATCTGTCTTCATTTTATCCCACAACAAAATCAAATTACAGGTTTCCCCTTTTCCTTGACCTCCTGGGAACCTCAAGCTCTATTTTGCATTAAACTGGGGTTTTCCTGTACGGTTAATCGGTTCCATAGGTCCCAATTTCGCTGTTCCATCCGGCCATTTTGCAATGAGATGAGGACCTTTCTGGGGTAATGTGCAGGGAGACAGGATGAGACTTTGGAGGGGCAGCCTGCGCTGAGGATCTGAGTTGGGGGAGGAGGTTGGGGCTTCGCCACGGCCACCTACTGCGGTTTGAAATGAAGTACCTGCTTTCTGTCTCTGGCCTCTGCTGACAGTTCCAGGGCTCTCACCCTCGGGGTCCTGGACCTCCGGGTTCCACGCTTCCACTTCTCCTTCCACCCAAGAGATAAAAGCGGATTTGGGGCCTGAAAATCCTGCGAAGGAGAAACCCTGGGTTAGGCTGAGCGCACGGGAGGGGAGATGAGGCTTCTAGCCCATTCGCTTTTGGGGACACCGATCCCCGCTTCCCACCGACTACTGGGGGTCCCGGCCGGAGCGCCCAGCCTCACCCAGCGCGCCCAGGTGGCCGCAGGTCTCCCGCATCACGTCCCGGTACAGGGCCCTCTGCGCGGGCCGCAGGCAGCCCCACTCCTCGGGGGAGAAGTACACAGCCACGTCTGCGAAGCTCACGGCTCCCGGCCTGCTTTCCAGCGTGCGCCGAGGCCGGGTCTCCCCGGTTACATGGGCTGGGCGCGCCGCCAGGGGCGGCCCCATGGGAAACCCTTTCTGCTTGGTAAAAGGAGGCTTCCGAGGAAAGCGGAGATGCCGGCGCTTTACTGTCTTTCCTCTGACGAGTCCGTAAGGCCCCTACTTCTTCCCTTAACCAAGATGGCGCCTTTCTGGCGTCAAGACCCCTCGCTTTTCCTCTGTGCCCTTACACACCTCGGGGAAACGAGAGGGGAAGCTGCCCTTGTAACAACCAGATAGATGGTGTGCGTTGATTGGACACTACCGGGAGGTCCAGGGTAGAAGGAATGCTGTGATTGGGCGTTTTTTGGAGCGGTCTGTTTGAAAAGCTGAGGGTGAAGGAACGACAGATCTCAAAAGTAGTCGGAGCTGGGGGGCCTCAGGGTCTCCTGACTCGCTTTTCCCGGACAGCCCCCTAGGAGAGAAGCTGTGACCAGCTGACGCTACTTCCTTCTGCTACGAGGTGAGACGCCTTAGAGCAGAGGCGGATGTCCAGGGCTTCGGGGTGAGTAAAGGTGACGCGTAAAGCCGTGGGCGGCTGTGCAGTGAGCGGGTTAGGGACTGCAGATCCCAGCTCTGAGCTCTGCGTACTCCGGGCCGGGCCAGCCCGAGGGGCTGCCGGAACAGGATCCTACCCAGGATCTAATGTGGCGTTTGCCCGGAGGTCACAGATGTCTTTCCTTTTAGAGACAACGGAAGGCTAGGTGACTGCTCACAGGCGCAGAGCCGGGATTTAAGGGCAACTCCTAGCTGGGCGCGGTGGCGCAGGCTGGTGGTCCCAGCTAGTCGAGGGGGCCGAGGCAGGAGGATCGCCTGAACCCCGGAGGCGGAGATTGCAGTGAGCCGAGATCTCGCCCCCGCACCCCAGGCTGGGCGACAGAGCTGGCCGCCCATCTCTAAAAACAAAAAGTCATTTTCTCGCTTCCGGGTTCGGTTAAGGGCTTAGTTTAGGGCCCTGCACAAAGTACTATTATAATTATGAGTTTATAGTTGTTATAGTAATTTTTAATACCATCTGTGTCCTGTCTTAATCAAAAAACGTATGTTCAAATTACAGCCGAAAGCCAGGCACTGTGGCTCACGCCTGTAATCCCAGCCGTTTGAGAGGCCAAGGCGGGCGGATCACGAGGTCAGGAGTTCGAGACCAGCCTGGCTAACATGGTGAAACCCTCTGTCTATCAAAGATATAAAAAGGTGGTGTGTGCCTGGAATCCCAGCTACTCGGGAGGCTGAGGCAGGAGAATTGTTTGAACCCGGGAGGCAGAGGTTGCAGTGAGCCTAGGTTGGGCCACTGCACTCCAGCCTGGGTGACAGGAAGAGACTCCGTCTCTAAATAAATAAATAAATAAATAAGCAAGCAAGCAAGCTGATAAGTGAGTAATAAAACTGGGAAATGAATCAGATAATCTCTTAAGACTGTTTTTCCAACCTTTCCAATCCAGTATTCATAGAAACAGAGGAGGAACATTTTAGATATAACAAAAAGCTGCCCATCCCCACTTTAAATTTGGCCGGGCACAGAGACTCACGACTGTAATCCCAGCACTTTGGGAGGCTGAGGTGGGTGGGTCACTTGAGGTCAGCAGTTCAAGACCAGCCTGGCCAACATGATGAAGTCTCGTCTCTACTAAAATACAAAGATTGGCCAGGCATTTTAGCGCATGCCTGTAATTCCAGTTACTTGGAGGCCTGAGGCACAAGAATCACTCAAACTCAGGAGGCAGAGGTTGCAGTGAGCCACAGTCATGTCATTGCATTGCAGCCTGGCCAACAGAGTGAGATTCCATCTCAAAACACGCACACGCACACGCACACACACACACATATTTATATATACAAAATATGTTCATTATATAAAAATATTTTATATATATATATATGTGTGTGTGTGTATGTATGTATACAGATGGCCAATAAGGACATGAAAAGATGTTCAACATCATAAGTCATTAGGGAAATGCAAATTATACCCACAAAGAGCACTTAAAGCCCCTGAACTGAATTTAAAATGGCTGGGTTTGGTGACTCAGGCCTGCAATCCCAGCACTTTGGGAGGCTGAGGCGGGTGGATCGCCTGAGGTCAGGAGTTGCAGACCAGCCTAGCCAACAAGGTGAAACCCCATCTCTACTAGAAATAAAAAAATTTGGCTGGGCATGGTGGCTCACCCTGTAATCCCAGCACTTTGAGAGGCCAAGGCAGGTGGGTCACCTGAAGTAAAGAGTGCACAACCAGCCTGGCCAATGTGGAGAAACCCCGTTTCTACTAAAAATACACAAATTAGCCAGGCATAGTGGCACATGGTTGTAATCCCAGCTACTTGAAAGGATGAGGTGGGAGAATTCTTGAACCTGGGAGGCAGAGATCGCTGTGAGCTGAGATCATGCCACTGCACTCCTGCCTGGGCGACAGAGTGAGATTCTGTCTCAAAAAAATAAATAAAATAAAAATACAAAAATTTCCTCCTCGAGCATTGTGGCTCGAGCCTGTAATCCCAGCTACTGAGGAGGCTGAGGCAGGAGAATCACTTGAACCCAGGAGGTAGAGGTCAGAGGTGACAGTGAGCCAAGATCACGACATTGCACTTCAGCCTGGGCGACAAGCAAAACTCCATCTCATTAAAAAAAAGTTTTGTTAAAATGATAAATTGTGCCGGGCGCGGTGGCTCAAGCCTGTAATCCCAGCACTTTGGGAGGCTGAGGCGGGTGGATCACAAGGTCGAGAGATCGAGACCAACCTGGTCAACATGGTGAAACCCCGTCTCTACTAAAAATACAAAAAATTAGCTGGGCATGGTGGCGCGTGCCTATAATCCCAGCTACTCAGGAGGCTAAGGCAGGAGAATTGCCTGAACCCAGGAGGCGGAGGTTGCGGTGAGCCGAGATCGCGCCATTGCACTCCAGCCTGGGTAACAAGAGCAAAACTCCATCTCAAAAAAAAAAAAAAAAAAAAAAAAGATAAATTGTATGTTATTTATATTTTACAACAATAAAAAAAACACTGAGATATCACTTTACATTCATGATGGTTAACAACAACATCAAAAAACAGAAAAAAAAAGTGTTGGTGAGGATGTGGAAAAATTGGAACCCTTGTGCATTGCTGGTGGGAATGTAAAATGGCACAGCCACTGTGGAAAACAGTCAGTTCCTCAGTTAAACCTAGATCTACCATGTGATCCAGTAATTCTACTCATAGGTACCCACAAAAAAATGGAAAACAAAGATTCAAACAGATACTTGTATACCAGTGTTCATTGTGGCATCATTCATAATAGTAAAAAGGAGAGAAAAACCCATGTCCATCAACTCATGAAGAACAAAATGTGTTCTATACAATGCAATATTCATAAGCCATCAAAAGGAATGAAATTCAAGCCGGGCACGGTGGCTCAAGCCGGTAATCCCAGCACTTTGGGAGGCCGAGGCGGGTGGATCACAAGGTCGAGAGATCGAGACCATCCTGGTCAACATGATGAAACCTCGTCTCTACTAAAAATACAAAAAATTAGCTGGGCATGGTGGCACGTGCCTGTAATCCCAGCTACTCAGGAGGCTGAGGCAGGAGAATTGCTTGAACCCGGGAGGCGGAGGTTGCGGTGAGCCAAGATCGCGCCATTGCACTCCAGCCTGGGTAACAAGAGCGAAACTCCGTCTCAAAAAAAAAAAAAAAAAAAAAGGAATGAAATTCTGCTGGGTCCAGTGGCTCACACCTGTAATCCTAGCACTTTGGGAGCCCAAGGTGGGTGGATCATTTGAGGTCAAGAGTTCGAGCCGGGCGCGGTGGCTCACGCCTGTAATCCCAGCACTTTGGGAGGCCGAGGCGGGCGGATCACGAGGTTGAGAGATCGAGACCGTCCTGGTCAACATGGTGAAACCCCGTCTCTACTAAAAATACAAAAATTAACTGGGCATGGTGGCGCATGCCTGTAGTCCCAGCTACTCGGGAGGCTGAGGCAGGAGAATTGCCTGAACCCAGGAGGCGGAGGTTGCGGTGAGCCAAGATCGGGCCATTGCACTCCAGCCTGGGTAACAAGAGCGAAACTCCGTCTCAAAAAAAAAAGAGTTCGAGACCAGCCTAACCAACATGATAAAACCCTGTCTCTACTAAAAATACAAAGATTAGCTGAGCATGGTGGTTCATGCCTGTAATCCAAGGCATGAGAATCACTTGAACCCAGGAGATGCAAGTTGCAGTGGGCTGCACTGCACTCCAGCCTGGGAGACAGAGCAAGACTTCCTCTCCAAAAAAAAAAGGAATGAAATTCTTACACATGCTACACCATGGATGAATCTTGAAAACATTATGTTAAATCAGTGGTCCCCAACCTTTTTGGCACCAGGGACCAGTTTCATGAAAGATAATTTTTCCACAGACCAGGATGATTTTGGGATGAAACTGTTCCACTTTAGATGATAAGCATTAGTTGGATTCTCATAAGGAGCGCACAACCTGGATCCTTTGCATGTGCAGTTCACAGTAGGGTTCACATTCCTATGAAAATCTAATGCTGCCGCTGATCTGACTGGAGTGAGAGCTCAGATGCTAATGCTTGCTTGCCTCCTGCTGTGTGGCCCAGTTCCTAACAAGCCACGGACTAGTACTCGCCTGTGGCTGGGGATTGGGGACTCCTGTGTTAAATAAGCCAGACACAAAAGGACAAATATTATGATTTCTCTTTTATGAAATATCTAGAAAAGGCAAATTCATAGAGACAGAAAGTAGAATAGAGGTTATTTGTGATGAGGGGAAGGTGGGTATAAAGAGTTACTGTTTAGACTGGGTGCAGTGGCTCAATCCTGTAATCCCAGCACTTTGGGAAGCTGAGGTGGGAGGATTGCTTCAGACCAGGAGTTCAAGACCAACCTGGGCAACATGGTAAGATCCTGTCTCTACAAAATTTAAAAATGTGCTGTGAATGGTGGCATTCACCTGTTGTCCCAGGTGCTCAGGAGGTTGAGGTGGGAGGACCACTTGAGCCAGGGAGGTCAAGGCTGCAGTGAGCTGTGTTCATGCCCACTGTACTCTGGCCTGGGTGACAGAGCAAGACCCTATATCAAATTTAAAAAAAAAAGTCGGGAGGGAGGGAGCAAAAAAGTTTCTATTTAATAGACACAGAGCTTCTGTTTGAGATGATGAAAAACATCTGGAAATGGTGTTACACAACAGTGTGAATGTACTTAATGCT